CGCCGCCGCCGCCGCCGCCGCCGCCACCACCACCTGGGGCTTGCCAGCTTTTCTTAACTTGAAATTATCCCGTCTACCTTTGCCTCTGGGCTTTCCTCGTTCTCTCACTTCTGTAAATCTTACTCTTACTCTGTGATTTGCTGTGTAGCTGGGTGGCTGGCCCCTGGAGTCCTCCTCCTTCTCTGGCTACTTCTTTTTTTCTCTCAGATTTCTCCTTCTATTTATTCTCTCTGCCTACCAGCCCTGCCTATCCTTTCTCCTGTCTTGCTATTGGCCATTCAGTTCTTTATTAGACCATCAGGTATTTTAGACAAGCACAGTTACATAGCTTCACAGAATTAAACAAATGCAACATAAACAAAAGTAACACACCTTAAAATAATATTCTACAACATATGGCCTTGTTGGAGGAGGTGTGTAACTATGGAGGTGGGCTTTGAGGTCTGATACATGCTTCTGATATATGACAGTTCACTTCCTGTTGCCTGCTGTTCAAAATGTAGGACTCTCAGCTCCAGCACCATGTCTGCCAGCATGCTGCCTTGTCCCATCATGATGATAATGGACTAAACCTTTGAACTGTAAGTGAGCCAGCATGGTCTGTTCCTTCTGTCTAAAATACTGTTTCTGATGCTTAACACATGACTGACTCTTTTTCACGGCAATGTCTTTGTTCCAATGATGCTTCCTTTGGGTGTTGTCCTTTGAGCACTTGTATACATACATTATATGTATGTATGGCCTCCACAAAAAAACCAGACATGGAGATGGGAAGAAGAAGCAAGGCAGAGACAGGCAGATAAGTGGAGCTCCCTGCCCATACATCTAGTCTAGCCAGTCAGTGAGAGCTGGGTTTTGTGAGAGATCCTGCTTCAAAAAAATAGGTGGAGAGCAATGGAATAAATCACTCTTTTCTTCACATACCCATACATGGGTGCACAACCAAAGATATACATAGAAACACTCACACACCACAACAAAGATAAATAATATGCCAGGTGGTGATAGCGCACATCTTTAGTTCCAGCACTCCAGAGGCAGAGGCAGGCAAATCTCTGTGAGTTCAAAGCCAGCCTGGTCTATGAAGCTAGTTCCAGGATAGCCAAGGCTACACAACAAAACCCTGCCTCTAAAAACCATAAATAATAGGATTTAGTGACAAGGCTTAGCAGCTGAAAGCACTATTTGCTCTTGCAAAGGAGTCAATTTGGTTCCCAGCTCCAGATCTGGATCACAGTTGTCTGTAATACCAGTTCCAGATACCAACATCGTCTTCTGAACTCCAAGGGCACAAAGCATGTACATGGTACACATACGTACCTGCAGGCAAAACATTTATACACATAAAATATCTAAAATTAGGGTTGGAGAGATGGCTCAGCGGTTAATAGCACTGGCTGCTCTTCCAGAGGTCCTGAGTTCAATTCCCAGCAACCACATGGTGGCTCATTACCATCTGTAATGAGATCTGGTGCCCTCTTCTGGCCTGCAGGCAAACACAGAACACTGCATATATAATAAAAAAATAAATCTTTAAAAAAATATCTAAAAATAATTACGACAAATATTTTCTCCATCTTAGCACTGTTGCCATTTGGGGCTGGTGGGAACCTGCCTGTTGTGAGGTGTTTCCAGCATTCTCCACCCACTAGATGTCAGTGGTGGTCCCTTCCCTGCTCAGACAGTCAACCAGGGTTTCCGATTGTTGGCCCCATCTGACAATCTGCTGCTTGGAACAGAGTCAGCATCTCGCTCCTCCAGGTTCTTGAACCAGGATTGTCCAGGTGTGACACAGTTATTGGCCATGTGTGACACAGTTATTGCCCAGGTGTGACTCAATTATTGCCCAGGTGTGACACCAGTTATTGTCCAGGTGTGACTCAGTTACTCTGCCTGCTGGTACTAGAAACAGTTTTGTTTCTGTGTTCAGCCTGGGCAACAGTCTCAAAACAACAAAACAAAAAACCTAAACAAACAACCACAACAAAGTAAAGAAACAGCATTTTACAGCAGTATCATCGACATCATCAACAACAACAACTAAAAACACATTTACAGGTTACCTGTTTTTAATCTTTTTTTAGTTTGCCTATTTTGTTCTAGGATTTCTTAGCAGGACTTTTGACAAACATTGGACAACTAAGTGTAGCCAATTTGATAAACAGATGGGCCCCATGAGCTGTGGGCAGAAGAGTTTATTTATTTATTTATTTTGGTTTTTCGAGGCAGGGTTTCTCTGTGTTGTTTTGGTGCCTGTCCTGGATCTTGCCCTGTGGACCAGGCTGGCCTCGAAATCACAGAGATCCACCTGGCTCTGCCTCCCAAGTGCTGGGATTAAAGGTGTCCACCACCACCACCTGGCTTTTTTTTCCCCCAAGACAGTGTTGATAAAATGCTGTGTAGCTTTACGCCTTTCCTGGAACTCACTCTGTAGACTAGGCTGGCCTGTCAAACCCTAGTGCTGGGATTAAAGGCATGCGTCACTCTCCCCCCACACACACCAGGCTTATTTATTTATTTTTTTAAAGACAGGGTCTCTCTACATAGCTCTGACTGTCCTGGAACTCACCAAGATCTGCTTCACTTGCTTTGCATCCCAATCCAAGTGCTGGGATTAAAGGTGTGCGCATTATCATCATGCTCAGTTGTTTTTGTTTTGTTTTATTTTTTGTTTCCCTGAGACAGGGTTTCTCTGTGTAACTGCCCTGGCTGTCCTGGAACTATCTCTGTAGACCGGCTGGGCTCGAATTCAGAGATCCACATTAAAGGTGTGCTCCACCACTGCCTGGCAGTAGACTCTTTTTGAGAGTAGTTCAGTATGTACCATAGGCTGGCCTTGAACTGTTAGCAATCCTGCCTCAGCTTCCCAAGTGCTGGAATTTGAGGTGTGAGCCTCGATGTCCAGCTTTTTCCATCCCTTTTTAGAAAGCCTTTCTTTATCTTTTTTTTCCTTTTTTCTTTTTTCAGAGCTGAAGACTGAACCCAGGGCCTTGTGCTTGCTAGGCAAGCACTCTACCACTGAGCTAAATTCCCAAACCCAAGCCTTTATTTTTAGAGGCCTTTCTTCCATTATATCTTCTTGCTAATGACCCTCTAACATTTAGAAATAGTCCAGTGTAACAGTTTTCCAGCAAATTTGGGAATGGTTTATATGGACTTATGGACTTAGAAGTGCTTTTCTTTTTCTTTTTTCTTTTTTGGTTTTTCGAGACAGGGTTTCTCTGTGTAGATTTATGCCTTTCCTGGAACTCACTCTGTAGTCCAGGCTGACCTCGAACTCACAGAGATCCTGCCTCTGCCTCCCGAGTGCTGGGGTTAAAGGCATGCGCCACCACCGCCCGGCTTAGAAGTGTTTTTCAGTCTTGCTTCTCTCATATAGCACATGCTTTAAGTGAGCTAAACATACACTCACGTACACACTTTAAAAAAAAAATTAAAACAACAAAACCCAGGAGGTCAAATAAAAAAACAACAAACAAAACTACATGATGAGTGGTAGATGGAGCTCAGTGGTAGAAGTTTGGTTCAGTCCCCAGGACCACATCAAACAAAGCCACACCAACCTCTGAAAAGTCGTGTGAAGCAACCAGAAAGCACTTGTGCACGTTTGTTTTAGGCTCAGACTTCCGCACTAGAGTGTAAACTTCGTGAGGACAAGGACTTCTGCATCTCGCCTTTTTCTCAGCTTCTGACCTTGCACACAGCAGCAGGTTGACAAATGTTGACACAGAGAAGCAGTGACTGCGCAGAAGCAAACATAAAGCCCAGAAAGAAAGGAAGATAGGCCTGCTTTCCCAGCCCAGCCTGAGCTCCCGGGAAACTACAACTCCCAGCATGCCTGGACTCAACATACCCGGGCTCGGCCCCTGACGCCCTAGCGTGTCTGGAGGGCGCAGGCAGGCTGCGGCGCCCGCCGGGACTTGTGGTCCCAGCCGCGGTGGGGGTGGGGCCGGCATGGAGGCGGGCGGGGGCCGGGGGCGGGCGCGGCCCCTCCCCCGTCACTTCCTGCCGGGCTGCGGGCGCCGGAGCCGCTCTTCAGCGTTTGCGCTGGCGGTCGTCGCGTCTCTGTCGTCTCCCCCTTCTTCTGATCCCCAGCCCGGCGGCGCCCGCCTCCTCCGCGGCCGCACCGCCTCTTCCCTCCCCTGGTCCCTTCTTCCTTGCCCTCTTCCCTTGCTCCTTCCCCTCCTCGCCGCCGCTCAGGACCGCCGGCCCGGGGACGAGCTCCGTGGAAGCAGCCAGGTGAGGCGGCGGGGCCGGGCCTCGGTACGGCCCTCGGAGGCACGGAGGCAGCGGGAGGTGGGCGGCGGGTGGGCTAGGCCTCGCGGGCGCTCGCGCTGCGGCCCAGGCCCGTCTCCGCCCGCGGGGCCTTCCCGGAGGAGGCGGGCCCTCCGCGCCGCTCGTGGGCCGGGTGCCCGAGTTAGGCGGGGGCGCGGGCAGGGTCTGGGCCGGCCGGGAGCCCCCCGGGCCTCGGCGCTGTGCAGAGTGCTGCGTGCGGCCACCGCCGAGCAGTGGGACGTGGTGCCAATTCTCGGTTCTGCCCCCTTCGCAAGTCACTTCGTACTCTTTGTGTCTCTGTTGTGAGGGGAAAGGCGGGGGTAGAGAACTAATCCTGTCCGGATCCTGTCCCTGCCTCTTTAGCCGGCAAAGGTGCAGTGAAATGGGGCGTGTAAAGCGCTTATCAGCGTGCCAGACCCACATCGTGTCCCAATAAACGGTTTGCATAATTTATTAGCATGATATGAAGGTATAATTTAGGGTGCAGACTGGACAGAAGTTGACCTACCTTCCCGTTTGGGTTTTCTCCGAGGCAGAAGAACCCGCGTGCCCACTGCCAGCGCCTGGGCATTGTGCTTGCTTAGCATCAGAAAGGGGCGCGCGCTTAATGGGGACACTGTAGCAGGCAAAATATGGATGTAAAGACATAGCCATCCTTTCTGTAGCACCAGCTGCGGGCATTTCACCGGCTCCCCCAAGCTCAACAGTCTGTCCGCTGTCTCCCTGCCACCATCCACAAGCTCCCTTTGGGTTCAGCAGACCTTTCTGGAGCCCTCCTGTGTGTGTCAGGCTCTGGAGGTGGGAGTGCGCGACGCTGTGAAAACGCTGCTTTCCTGCTCCACATCTGCAACCCTTCACTTTGGTTGGTTGAACTTCTCTTTGACTCCGGGGTCCCAGTTAGCAGTTTCCCTTAACCCCTGGCTGCACCTCCCTCCCCCTGGCAACGTTGCTAGTGTGGAAGCTTTGTTCCGTGCTGCCCGCCGTGGTGTGGGGTCCTTTTTAAAGGTCACTCGTTTCATCTGCTTGTAGCTGTACTTCTTGAGAAGGTGTTAGAAGAGATTTTGGATTTTCAGGCATCTGTGCTTACCAAATGAACTTAACATCGCTACTTGTTGAAGTAAAAACTAAAAATACAGTTGGTGAGTGTGGAGGAGCAGTCTCGGCCATTCTGGTGAACTTTCAGAAGAGCATCTTTTCTATTCTGACTCAGCCTTTGTTTTTATTTCTGAGTATTGTACCGGCAGCAGCTGTTGAAGTCAGAAGATTGCTTTTGGATTCTGTAGGTTGTCCGGCTCCTTGCTGCATGCTGAGCTGTCTCAAAGTGTCTGGTTTGTTTGTTTGTTTGTTTGTTTGTTTGAAATCTGTGCTTAGTGATGTAGGCATCCCCTCCCTTAAAGACATGTAAACTCAGATTTTCCAGTAGTATAGTGTGTTTGTGCTCAGTGACTCTTCTGTACCTTAGGATGTTTGTTTGTTTTTTTCCGAGACAGGGTTTCTCTGTGTAGCTTTGGAGTCTATCCTGGATCTTGCTCTGTAGACCAGGGTATCATCAAACTCAGAGATCCTCCTGCCTCTGCCTCCTTTAGTGCTGGGACTAAAGGCGCGCCACCACTGCCCAGCTGCTTTAGGATTATTGTGTGTGTGTGTGTGTGTGTGTGTGTGTATGTGTGTGTGTGTATTTTACCTTTGTGTTTATTTTGCCTTGGTGTTTATGTGGGCGTGTACACATGTGCATGCCCCTGTGTGCCTGTGGAGGCCAGAGGTCGACCTCTGGTGTCTTGCTTGCTCTTCCTTATTTTCTGAGACAGTCTCTAAGCATGATGCTCCCCTGACCTACTCATTTCTTCAGTCCCTCTGTCACCAGATTGCTTTGGGCAGTGAATTTCCTTAGTAAGTGGAGAATGTTTATATCACACCCACCTCAATAATGCAAGGCAGCCTCTGTGTTTTTGACATCTTTCTAAAATTTCTAACAGTCAGGAAATAGTTTCTAGCATCAATTGTTGAGTGTAGTGGCTTTTTAACAGCCCCTCAAGAAACGATTCTGCAAGCAGGTGCCAAGCATAGCCTTTGCCACATCGAAAATATGGTAGTTCAGGGAAGGGGTACTTAAGTGCTGTGGGGGAGAGCCTGAAGGGTTTTTTGACAGGATCTTTAGCTTCGGCTGACCTTGAAGGCCTGTCAGTCCTCCTGTCTGAGCCACCAAGGTGCACAGATTACAGGTGTGAGCCGTCACGCCAGGCTTCTGAAGTTATTTTTAAGTATGAAAGTTGAACACTATAGAGGGCACTGTGAATTGGTTGCCCAGCTTTGGCAATGATTAACTCCTCGCTCAGGTCAGTCCCATTTCTTTTTGACCTCCATCCTTTGAGCTGGCTTGTTTTGAAACAAACCCTAAACCTGTCATAATCTTAGTCATTTTGACTTTACCATATCACCTCAGATTGCCTATTAAACTGTTAATAAAACACCATTTCTCAGTGTACTGGAACTGACAGGGTTTTTGTTTTGTTTTGTTTTGTTTTTGGTCTGGCTTCCTTGTTGACATATGATTAATACACAGCAGAAAAAGAGCTGCAGAGTTAGCAGATTCCCCTCCTAGAGAACCGAGATTTCAGTCTTTCTCCTTACGAACTGAATCAACTGTTCCTGAACTATTAATGACTAATTGAAAACTGGAGCAGTGGTGAATGTCTTTGATCCCAGCACTTGGGAGACTGAGGCAGGCAGAGAGAGCCTGTCTGGAAAGGAAAAAGAAAAGGGCCGTGGGACTGCAGCTCAGTGGTGGGACACTTGCCTGTCATGCACGAGGCTCCAGGTTTAACCTCTAGCCTGCAGAGCTCCCAGGCGTGTGCATTGCAGCTGAAGGGCCCCTGTGGTGTTTACAAACAACTGTCAGCTGAGTGTTGAGGTCATCCTTAGCTCTCTGAACATATGGAACCCTAGGTGAGGGATTGGTATTCAGAGATGAGGAGGACCGGCATGGTGTCAGTGTTTGCTGCTCTTACTCAGTTTCCGCTGTAACTTTGTTATTTCTGTGCTGCAGGTGCATATCAGAGCTCCCTCAGTACAGTGCTCTGCTGTTTCAGTTGTTGCAGCCTGGGGGGTAAGGAGGGGCGGCCTCGAAACATTAATTTAGGAGCCTGTTTTTGTTTTTTCTCTGATTTTTTTTTTTTTAAAGGGGAGGACAGGGGATGGAGGTGGGTTTTTTTTTTTAATTTTAATTTTATTTATGTATTTTTTAGGTATGTGTGTTCTGTCTGCATGCATGTCAGAGAGAGCTTCAGATCCTGTGTGGTTGCTGGGAATTGAACTTGGGACCTTTGAAAGAGCAGCCAGTGCTCTTAAAACCTCTGAGCCATCTCTCCAGC